TTTATGGCATATTGGGATTGTATAATTTTGCCTTGCATGACACCTAATATCATTTGTATCACTATAGCTGAGTAAAAAAGATTATTGGTTGCTTCACATCCAACAACTATGTTGTTACTATATTTATTTACAAATTAAATATTTGGAGATGATAAATATTTGATTCCAGTCATCTGGTGCAATGATCATAGTGTAATGTGATGCAAATTACTATGTAAATCAAGCAAGAAATGCAAAGATTTTCTGACAATTATTCAATTAAAACTTTTTTTCATACTAAGTTAATCGATCTTGTATAAAGATTTTATATAGTCAGTCAACCATTTTTTAGCAATATCTCGCGAACCACTAGGCCAATTTGGATGATTTAACCACCATTAGATGCGTCTCGGCGAGCTCTACAACTTTCAATTAATCAACAAATTCGATTAACACAGTACAAAAAAATTTTAATTGAATAATTGTTAGAAAATCTCTGCATTTCCTGCATAAGTGATTTACATAATGATTTGCATCACGTTACACTATTATCATTGCATATAGTGATTTATGCCGCATGATTTTAGTCGGCTGGCTAAGCCAGCTGACCAAAAACATCAGCCAAGCCAGTGTTGTTCCGGACATGGACATGAATATAGACCGTCCATGGACATGGACATGGACAGTCCATGGACATAGAGAGACAATAGAGTGTTCAATGTCCATGTTCACATGTTCATGGACAGGTGTCCAGGACAACACTGCCAATAATGACTGGCTAGAAAATAAGTTAGTCGCGCAACCAAACTCCAGGTTGGAATAATCGAAATTGACAATTTTGTCTAAAATTACTTGAAATTTTACTAATAAACAGTAGCCTATATACTAAGTCAAATTGTCCAAATGGTAATTTTGTTAAATATAGTTGGCTAGCACTATAGCTTAATGCCGGCCTAGTTCCGATTAGTGATGTGCCATTTATATGATACCTTAAAAAATTTTAGCGTACAGTATGTACAGTACGTACTGTACGTTAAGAAAGTGGGTATTTGATATCCTTAGGATAAACTAACTAAAACTCTACACTAAGCTACTGAAACAACCCAATCTAGGCTTCAAGACTCCTAAAATCTTGAGGTGGAAGGCAGAAAGAGGGTGTGGAAAGACTTGGTCTGAGTTTCAAGATCTTTCGGGTCTTGTGGTGATGGTTTCGGCCCTTGGATGAGACTTTTAGCTGATTACTGTTTTGTTGTATTAGTTTTTCTAACACTAACAACACTAATTATTCGATTTAGAATGCTCGTTCGTTTTGTGGTCATGTGTTATGTAATCACAATACTAGGAGTAATCAGTGATTAATTTAAGTCTACGTCACAGGTAGATATTTGGCAGAAATCAGATCTTCAATTAGCCAATGAGGCTAATGTCACAGGTAATTTCGAAGATCAATTAATTGTTCGATCAATTAATTGATTGTTGGCTTAATAAGTGATGACAATGTGTCACGAGAAAATAAGGTATTTAATAAGTGTATTTTCTTTATGTGGAAGGGGATCTAATTCTTCAGTAATCTCTCTTATCGATACTTAAGAAAAATGATTTTGACAAAGTCATGGGGACAAGGAATTACAGATGATAAGTATTGGTTCGTGTACTATATGTTTTAATAAAGGGAACAACTTGGGACTAACACTTCTATTCTAATTTCGACAGTGTTAACGGAACTTTTACTTTTCTCGGATTTTTCTAATAAGCGAAACTTCTACACTATTTTTGGGTTTTAATTTGGGGTCGATTAGGAACAATTATGGGTCAAAAGGAAGATAATTTGTGAGAAACAACTTCTACTAAAGTGATTTCGAAGTTAAAACTCAGGTGAGTGTTATCTTTATTTTGGGGCGAGCAAAGAGCTCTTTTATAATAAAATTTACAGACTAAATTCATGAAATTTACTAAATTCATGAAATTCACTAAATTTACTAAATTAACTAAATTTACTAAATTTACTAAATTTACTGAATTCATTACCTTAAAAGGAAACTTCACCCATCATACCCAAAAATAGAATAATAATAATAAAAAAAATACAAAAATAGAAAAAAAATGATAGACATCCAACACAGCCTGATTTCAGGTATAGTGACATTAACCTTAACTGTCACAATTATTCCCCTCCGAAAAGAGCTTGTAACACAAGCTCATCTTGAATTAAGTCACCAAATTGTTCCTTTGGCAATGTTGTGAGTTTGGTGAGACAGGTATGAGTAGTTCTATAGATTTGTTCAATCGCGAAGGGTTCGAACAAATAGTAGACATGTTTGGCACTCCGAAGGAAGTACTCACCGTACTTCCTTCTTGCTGCAGTTTTTTCAGTTGGAGTGGCAGTAGATATACAGACACCGAAATAGTAAGCATATACTAGGGCATCAACCCTATTTCTTCTAGCCTTGGCCCTATTGATTTCGTCTCAGGCAAGGGCTAATTTGGTTGCAATTCCTTGACCAGCATCGTAAGGGCAGGCGCGGCAATTACAAGCAAAGGTTCAGTAGTGAGTAGGTTCTGTTGAATCAAAGTTTTATAGGAAGCCATATTAATAGTAATTTCAGAATGTTTTAGTGTTAAAGGAGTTAGGTTGAATCTAAATTTTGCATTTTCAACGGCTAATTCGCAGCCTTTATATATTTTCTTCACTTTTCCTTCTTTTGTTCACTTTTCGCTTCTTTTTTTTTTTTTTTTTTTTTTTTTTTTTTTTTTATGTATTGTCTTTTTCTCATGTACTTCAATATGTGAGTTCCTTAGTTGCTTCGTTTGTAGTAAGGCTTGAGCAAGGCTTTATTCACAGGGTCTCTAGTACTTTTCCATTTAGTTCCCTTATTTTGTAGGTGCCGTTTGGAAGAATAGCATAAATGTAGTACGGTCCCTTCCATTTTGGTGTCAGTTTATTGGTACATGTGCCCAATTTCTGGGCATCTAGCACTAGTATTTTGTCTTCAATGTGAAAATCATCTGTGGCTTTGACTTGTAGATCATGACGCCTTTTTTGCTCTTGTTGTACTCTCTTAATTCGGTGCAGTGCATTTTTATAAGCTTCGGGCAGTTTACTGTCGATCTCATACAGCCTCTGTATGATAGTATCGTTCAGTAAATCTTCAGATTCACTAGGGTGGATGGGTAATTGGGCAGTTCTCCCATACACCAAGTAGAAAGGTGTTTCCTGCGTCATAGCTTGTTTCGCTGTGCGGTAGATGAACAGAATTGGTGGGATTAGTAAGTTCTAGTCCGTCATATTAGTGGTTAACCTCGCTATTGCATTGCACAACATTTTATTAAAATGTTCTACAAGCCCATTTGTTTGGGGATGATAGGGGGTGGAGTAGTAGTGCTTAGTGCTTAAAGCTGCTAATAATTCATCAACAACATGGTTGTTGAAGTAGAAGCCCTGATCAGATAATATGATGCTAGGACATCCGTGCTGGCATATTATTTTCTCATAAATAAACTGAGCCACTTCTTGTGTATTGGCCCTGGGAATTGCACAGGCTTCTGGCCACTTCATTATATAGTTGGTCGCAATGACTATATATCTGTTCATATGGGGCATTATAGGAAGTGGGCCAACTATATCGATCTCTATTCTATAAAAGGGGGCTTTTACGGGTATTGGGTGTAATAGTTCCTTAGATTTTTTACTTCTATGGCGTTGGTAGCTTTCACATATCTTCACGTACTCGCATATATCATGGTACATTTGAGGCCAATAGTAACATTCACAAAGTTTATTGAACACTATATCTTTTCCAAAATGGGCTCCTGTAGAGTGGTCATGGGCTAATTCTAAAATAGGTTCTATTTCTCCTTCTTGTAAGACCTTCATTGTCTTTTTCTCGGTCTTCTTTCTACTTTTTTTGTGCAGGCTTCTGGCCTTTACTTAGAAAAATTGACTTTGTTTTTCCAATCGCTTCTGTTGTTGACTATCATACATTGGTGAGTATTGACGATGTTAAAGGTAAATTATTAGTGCTGTATATAATTGCGGATCTATTTCTCTTTTTTTTTTTGAAATTAAATTTAAACAAGACCAAAATGTTCGGTCTTCTTCAGTTTCATCTTTTAGCCAGGATACCGACAACCTGGGCTGGATTAGATTTTTTGTTGGGTTTGGTGTGTTTTGATTGGGGTAATTCTTTTCTGTTGATATTCAGCTTTTTCAACCCAATTTCGTTTTGATAACAATGCCCAACTCTGTATGCGTATAGTTATGAATTTTTATTTCTCTTATAGTTATTTTTAACCGTCTATTTTCCTAGGGTTTAGTTGATTTTCCTTCCGTTTCTGCGGTTATATCTTCTATAAACTGCATACAGAGGTCCACCTTCCCTGGCTCTATATTCAATTCTTAGGCCCTTGTAAAATATCGCCTGCATACTTCGTTGGACACATCTTATTGTGTTCAGGTCTGTTGGGTAATTTTGCACCCCTTTTTTTGGTAATATATTTCTTCAACTAGTTAATTAATCTTCTGGCCAGTTTTTACCAGGCATAACCAATTTCAATATTGATATTCTTTTATTGAAATCCAAGTTCTTGATCTTCCAATCTTGGCTAGTTAATTCGAACCAGTTATAATTGGTTTGTATACTTTCTTATTTTTGCTACGAGGATTGGAGGGTTAGGTAAAAGAAATTTTGATTGTTGTTTCGTGGTCTCGTGTTTCCCATTTGACGATATTATCTTAAATTAAGCCTCAATATTCTTTATAAGTTCTTTGATTAGGGCCTCAATGTTCTTACTAAGTACTTGGCAGTTTTCCTTTTGAATGGGGCCCCACAACTTGCCCCATTTCATCCTGACTATCCTCGCTCTAACATCAGGTCTGTTACTACTTGTTCACACACACATATATATATATATATTTGATTTTTATATGCAACAAGGCTAATATGAAATATTACTAAATAATGTCATTATTGTCTGTTTATATTTTTTTTCTCTTTTTTTTTTTTTTTTCCTAATTACTCTTACTATAAGTTATTGTAGTTCCAATTAATGTAGTCATCAAATTCCGGTAACCATTTCGAGCTTTCCAGGTTAGCAGTAAATTCAGAAAATAGTTCTTTGTCTTCATTGGTATTCCACCAACAATGATTGGAACCTAGGTGTGGGTTATAATAGCTATAGCCTGTATCCTTATATCCATCATCACTACTGTCTTCGAATTCCAGTTCTTCTGTGATTTCACCCTATTGGGGTATATTAACTAAGTAAGCTTCATTCAAGTTAGTAGATTGTAATTCACTTTCAGTATTACTGCTATTTGTAGGCTCATTCTGGTATCCGTTTACAATCATCCAGGTTATCTCAATTCTGATTTCTAGGGCTAATTCGGTTAGGAGGTTTTGGTAACACCTTTTTCTTTCAATTTCATTATTGGTAAGTTCTTCTTCCTATTCATAGTTTATATATTCATCACTACTTGGCATCTCATTTTTATGTTTTCTTCAATCTATTCAGTAGTATTATTCTTCCAAGGAATAATTTCCAATTCCTCATTGGAGCCTTCTTAAGCAATAGCCCAGAAAACTTCAACTTCTTCCTTCAATTCGGCCGGGGCTACTAGGGTTTTTTGTTCAGGTAAATGGGGTTGTTCCTCTTCATTTTTCTTCATCATAATTTCCTTTTGGCTAAAAGTACTTGGATTGTTTCCTTCTTGGTTTCTCGGTAATTCTTCAGTCATTCTTGACAATGCATCAGTATTGTTATGCACTCTTCTGGCCCTATATATTATGGTGTAAATGTAGGGCTAGAGACGTAAAATCCATCTAGCCCACTTTTCTTTTAACGCGGTACTATGGAGCCATTTTAGGGCTAGATGGTCGGTAACGATGATAAAGGGTTTATACCCTAGGTAGTGATGGAAATGCTTCACAGCCCATACTATGGCATAGCACTTCAATTCAGTAGCTATATAATTTCTTTCTGGGCGGTGAGACTTTTACTAGCATACACAATGGCATATTCCTTGTCTGCTTCATCTTTTTGTGCTAGGACTGCTCCTAGTCCAACACCTAACATGTCAGTATAAAGGTAAAACGGCCTTTCAAAGTTTGGGTACCTTAAAACTGGAGCCATTATAAGGTGGGTCTTCAGTGTAACAAATGCTTGTTCCTGTTCCTTTTTCACTGATATGGAGTATCTTTTTCTAATAACTGGTGCAAGTGTTTGGCTATAGTGGCAAAGCCTCTAATGAATCATAGATAATAGGATGCAAGGCCTATAAAACCTCTCAGCTGCCTTAAGTTAGTAGGTGGAGAGAAATTTTTGACTTTTTCTACCTTTTTTTTTGTCTGGTTGAATACTATCAATCCCCACAGTATGACCCAGAAAATCTATATTTTCTTTAAATAATTCGCACTTTTCCGGGTTAAGTTTTAACCCTGCCACTTCAATTCTTGAAAGGATATTTGCCAGGTGCGATAGATGTTTCTAGTAAGTCTTGGGGTAGATTATGATATTGTTCAAGTATACTGCAACATATTGTCCTAAGGTTACTCAAAATATGGTTCATGGCTTGTTGGAAGGTGGCTAGCACGTTGCACAACCCAAAGGGCATAATGTTAAATGCGTATATCCCTTGTTTTGTAATGAACGCGGTTCTTTCCTGATCTTCAGACTTCATGGGTATCTGCCAGTACCCACTAGCCAAATTGAGGCTTGAAAACCAATGAGACTTGTTAAAAAGATTTAGCATGTCATCTATACGCAGTAGAGGATATGCATCTTTCTTTGTCGTGGTGTTAAGTTTTCGATAGTCGACATATAGCTGCAATTTTCTGTTCTTCTTAGGGACTATAATGACTGGAGAGGTCCAGGCACTCTTTAGTTCGTATATAAACCCGTGTTCAATAGCATTTTAATTTCCTTATCTAGGAAGTCCTGTGCATCAGATGAAATTCGATAGGCTGGTTGCCTAATTGGCTTGGCGTTATCAGTATCAATTTTATGTTGAACTCCTTCAGCATAGCCTATTTTGTCTAGCCCTGTTGAGAGGACGTTGAAGTAGGTTTTGAGAATATGCCTTACTTCTTGTCTTTGTTCCAGGTCTAAAGCCTCTACTTGTATTAATTTTTCGATTAATCGATCAGTAGTTGGCTTAGACTAGGGCTTATTCTCCAGGGTGGGGATTTCTTCCACATTGGTTAAATAAATTGCTGGGTTATCACTTATTTTATATAGACCAACATTTTTTTCTTGTTGCATTTCAGTTTTATCCATATGATATCCTTCCATTTCTTCCAGGTCTTTTTCTTCTTTGTATAGGTCGAAGAAATTATTATCTCCTTCAGTTTTATCTTTGGGTAGCTCTTGCTTATCCTCTCTCGCTTGGTAGATTGGTACTTCTATTTGCTTATCTAAGTACCGAAGAAATAATTTCTTTTCATCGAAATATAAACAAGCATGAACTTTCTGGAACCAGTCCATGCCGAGTAACATCATTTCTTCAGGATTTTTGATGACCTGAAAATCGGTGGGTACCATTATACTTTGTATGGTTAGTTTTACTCCAGGTAATTTACCCAATGTTCGCCCCCGGGTCCCATTTGTAGTAATAATTACTGTATTAGAAAGTTCTATTATAACAAGGCCTAATTTTTTTGCTAGCTTTGCCAAAATTATGCTAACTGCGGCTCCCGAATCTAGGACTGCCAAAATCGAATTGTTTTGGACCTTAACGTAATATTTAGCTGCCATGGTTCATTGTATAGATTTATCTTCCGTAAAATTAGTTGCCTCAGGTGTAATGATAATAGGATATTGCAAGGCTTGTACTAATTTTTGACTTTGCCAAGAGAACTTGGAGTAATTGTATATATGTGGTATTGGCGCATTGGCTTAACAGGTCTTTAGCGATGTTGTATGGTGATATCGAATCTATAACTAAAAGGCCTTGTTTATGCCTTATTTTGTTAGGTACTTCGGGCTGGGGCTGGGCAGGGACTTGTATCAGGGTATCTTCTTCTATAGGGGCTGGTTGGGTGTTTGGAGCACTACGTTGAGTTCTAAAGCGACTCTTTTCCTCAATCAGTTATTCCAGTTTGCTTCATTTTCGGGTCTTTCAGTTCTCTTAGCGGCATATGCTTCGTCTTCGTCATCAATATTGCATAAATTGATATTTCTAGTGGTGGGGGTGGTCCTAGTATAGTTATTAGGGGTTGTTAGTAATTTTGGCGTAGTTCCAAAGGACAATTTCTGGCTATATGGCTTCTTCCTCTACAATTATAACAGATGATGCCTTCATTTCTTCATAGTTGTAACTGCCGCAGCTGGATTTGGTGGTTATTAGCTTGGGGTCTGAGTTGATTAGTTTCTATATTAACAGCCAGGGCCATGGTCAATTTTTCGCAATTTGCAGCCATCTGCTGCATTTTTTGCGTTAAATCATCTAGGACCTGGCTAGTAGGTTCTTTCTTATTCCTGTTCTCATAATATTGACCAGCTTCTATTTTTCTTGCCTTTGCAATAGCAACATCCAACATATCGAAGTTTTCAGCAGACATTAGAGCGGCAGTTTTGCCATATAGGCCTCCCATAAACATCTTTATGATGTAAGTAGCAGGTATTTGATGATTATGGTCAACTCTTTTCAATAATTTTTTGAACTAGTAGGCGTATTTTTTGACTTTTTCTTTTTCTTTTTGGTTCAAATTGGTTAGTTCTAACTGCCATTGGTGCTTGCATTCCGGGGTGGCAAAATACTTAGTAAAGAACTGGACGAAACTTTCTTCTGGTTATCATCATCGTCCCAAAAGAGAAAATTCTCTCTTTGATCGTTATACCAGCTAGCTGCTAGGCCTGATAGGTGTCCAGAAGCAATTTTGATTTTCCTTCCCCGGCCCCAATTATTGGCGTTAGCAGCCCTTTCAAAGGCCTCAATTCATTCAACTGGGTCTTCATCTTCTTCTCCCTTGAATGTTTTGTCATGGACCCAGTTGTTTTCTCTAAGGTTCGGAGGAACATTGTGGATAGCAACTTCTCAAAATGCTTGGGCTATTTCTCAGGGGCCGGGTATGGTTCAGCTGGTTGTGATTGGTATGCAGGCAGGAGATCATGGATAATAGGTTCTCCATCAACCATCCTATTGTCTTCAAGATAGTCGAGGTCTGATATAGTATAATTAGAAAACTTTTTTGGGTATATAGATCGTTTGTGGTTGTGTATAATTTAGTAAGAAAACTTGAAATGCTTGTGAGTTTAGAAGTAAGAATCTCACAGTCACCACTAATTGAGAAAGTGGGTATTTGATATCCTTAGGATAAACTAACTAAAACTCTATACTAAGCTATTGAAACAACTCAATCTAGGCTTCAAGACTTCTAAAATCTTGAGGCGGAAGGCGGAAAGAGGGCATGGAAAGACTTGGTCCGAGTTTCAAAATCTTTCGGGTCTTGTGGTGATGATTTCGGCCCTTGGATAAGACTTTTGTATCCTTTTAGCTGATTACTGTTTTGTTGTATTAGTTTTTCTAACACTAACAACTCTAATTATTCGATTTAGAATGCTCGTTCGTTTCGTGGTCACATGTTATGTAATCACGATACTAGCAGTAATCAGTGATTAATTTAAGTCTACGTCACAGGTAGATATTTGGCGGAAATCGAATCTTCAATTAGCCGATGAGGCTAATGTCACGGGTAATTTCGAAGATCAATTAATTGTTTGATCAATTAATTGATTGTTGGCTTAATAAGTGATGACAATGTGTCACGAGAAAATAAGGTATTTAATAAGTGTATTTTCTTTATGTGGAAGGGGATCTAATTCTTCAGTAATCTCTCTTATCGATACTTAAGAAAAATGATTTTGACAAAGTCATGGGGACAAGGAATTACAGATGATAAGTATTGGTTCGTGTACTATATGTTTTAATAAAGGGAACAACTTGGGACTAACACTTCTATTCTAATTTCGACAGTGTTAACGGAACTTTTACTTTTCTCGGATTTTTCTAATAAGCGAAACTTCTACACTATTTTTGGGTTTTAATTTGGGGTCGATTAGGAACAATTATGGGTCAAAAGGAAGATAATTTGTGAGAAACAACTTCTACTAAAGTGATTTCGAAGTTAAAACTCAGGTGAGTGTTATCTTTATTTTGGGGCGAGCAAAGAGCTCTTTTATAATAAAATTTACAGACTAAATTCATGAAATTTACTGAATTCATTACCTTAAAAGGAAACTTCACCCATCATACCCAAAAATAGAATAATAATAATAAAAAATACAAAAATAGAAAAAAAATGGTAGATATCCGACACAGCCCGATTTCGGGTATGGTGACATTAACCTTAACTGTCACAACGTTGTCAGGGGCTCCTGTGGCCCCCGAATTTATTTTTTTTCTATTTTTATCTTTTTTTTTATTTCTGTATCATTGTACCGGTTACGTTCTAGAAGCATAAGCTTAGCATAGTTAGTCCATATAGTAGTAAACAAGATCATAGCCTCGATACCTATTTTGGTAGGATCGAAGGTGAAGAAAATTACGGAAATGAAATAAATGAAATTTATTTCATTTATTTCATTTTCTTCATCTTTTAAATGAAGAAAACTTGTTAACATATGCGCTGAGTCATTACAGCCGTAGCAATGTAAAAACTATATAATGTGAGG